TAATATGGAGTTAACTGATGTGGGCACAGTGATGATTGCAGAGATCATCTCTGACAAATGTGCTTTTTTGGACTGTTAGATTTTTCATCTGCAGCTATTTTGTCCACTGCGGTATTGTAAACACTTCACAGCATATTTTCTTTTAAATGATGGTGTCATTTGAATTGTAGATACTATTCTCTTTATAGAGCAGATCTGAGAATCTTTCCTGCTTTGAAAGGGAAGATGGAAACCCCTGAGTTCTGTCACAGGCTTGCTGTATCAAAATGATGCAGCTTTGTGGGGTTATTCATCTACAGGATGGTAACATGTCTCACATGCAGCAGGATGATGGTTCAACTCTTGCATTAACAGCTGAAATCTTCCTTTGAAAGTCTTCTGAAACAGCCACCTGATTAAAATAGCAAGCTCGGGTTTGTATCATTGCTTGTAACACTCAGGGAAACTTGCAGCCTTTTGGGATTAGGATTTGTCAGTTGGTATTCATGATGCTCTATAAACTTAACTATCCTATAGCTGAGTTCTCAGCTTTACCTGAAATGACAATGTGATGAACTCTTGACATATATGCCTGGGGTAATGAAAAACTTGTGATATGATAAAGAAAGGTAAACTTTATTGAAGTAAGTGTTAATGTTAAATTAATAGCATACTTTTGCAAGAGACATCTGTTATTTCTCATATCAGCTATGTGATATGTTCAGTGGGTGATAAAACTTTTTCAAAGCTGAAGTCAATGGTTGCTCTGATTATTTCTGTTGCAGTGTCATGATCCTTGTGGATACATCAGGATGTGAAAGATGGTGAGAAAGTATGTTATCTCTGACAGTTGAAAGAGGGTTTCTGGCCTGCAGCTGGAAGTTTGTTACGAGGTTTAAGTCAGGCAGTGCACCTCTGTTTTGAAAACATTCCAGACTTTCTCATGTTCCTGGAAGTGTATTTCTGTATTAGCCTTGTGAAAAGTTTATCTTAATCTGTGTTTAAAGTTTCTAAAATGTTTGCTAGGATGAGTTCTGCACAAAGCCAAACTCAAATCTATTTTTGTTTGTGCTTGCTGGAAGAGCAATGAAAAGATCTTTTATTCTAGTGAGCTTTTTTGTTTTACGGTGTTGCTGTTTGCAGTCTGAAACTTAAGTTGTCAGCACTTGCATTTGTAAATCTCTTTTTAAGGGCTGATTACTCTGGGCTGAAAGTTGGCAGGCAAGATCTAAGTCCTAAAGCATTGTTTGGGGTTTTTAAATAACAGATCTATCTGACTGGTTTGATTGAGAACGCATGCTGCTACTCATACTCTTGTAACTCTAGACAACTAAACAGACTGCATAAAAGCACACTTGGAATATGAATTAGAGAAAGCAGAAATTACTTCTAATGGAAGCAGAAGTGGGAGGATTGGGGGCTGTACTCAGTGGAGGACTGGGGGAGGTGGCAGGGGCAGTGAAGTGTTTTTTCCTTGGCTACATAAAAATGGAGTAGATGTCTCTTTCGAGCTGCTTGCATGGTTGTGGTGTAGGTGGATGTACTGTGTATATAAATATCTTCAGACGGTTGAACATTAACTCTGACAGTACTGTAAGATACGTGAACTAAAATGCAGTGTAAAGGTTAGCCTGATGCCGGCGCCACAGTAACACACACGTGTGGCTATTGGATGAGAATGGGCCCAGCTCTGCTTGGCTTGGCACCCAGAGAAGGGTTGTTGTGTGCACTTTCCTGTATCATCACCTTGTGGACCATTGCTGGTTTGTATTTGTTATCTTCTGAAATTATGAAATTCTTATAAAAAAGATGCACTTGAAAATATATGCCAGTAAGGAATCACGTCAATTTTTAAAAAAAGTAAACAACAAATAAACCACACAATCCACAACTTTTTGTTTGGGAAGGTAGTTGTGGATGTTGCAGAGGGAAACCAGGAGGCTGAAACATGTGCTACCTGCATCACTCGGCCAGGTGGTCTCTGTCCCCCCGAGAATATTCTTCTAACTCCTCAGATTAACCACTGCTGACTGGGCACCCACAGGGACAGATCTGTACAAATCTAAGTAAAGAGTTACTGCCCTAATTGTCCTTACTCTAATAAGAAAAACAACTGTATTAAGATTCTCTTCCCCTTCCTGTAGCAATTACTGATTTAACAGACTGAGCAGTGTATTACAGTTTTGCAGGACAGTAAGGACTCCATGGTTGAATGTTGTGTGGTTTCTAAAGAAACATGTTTTCATCTGCATTTTAAACCTGTGGGACCTAAGTGTCTTACCTGTTTGAGAGTCTGACTTGCTTTTGATAAGCTTCAGTAAAATCCATGCAGTTTCTCTTGGATTAGATAGTATTGGAAGTATTTGTGTGTATTAAGGTTAACTTTGCCCTTGACATAATATATCTGAAGTTGTTGAACTTGACTAATTACTCTGTCAAGACTGAGTAGCAAGCCAGAAGGAAAAATATTTACTATACACATTTACAGAATTGAAATATGACAAAATTAAAATTTTATACTTTAAAATCAATTTAAAATCAATTCCTAAATGCAGGCCATTCTACAGATTGTGTAACTAGATAGATGGAAGACATGGGTTTTTGTGAATCTGCTTTCTATAGGCTAGAAATACTGTTTGAAAGCTTGAATGAAAAGAACCAGTAGTTTACTTGTGTCAGCTCACAGTTCTGCCATAGGCATTGCTATCTCTATCTTAAACAGGTCTGCTGATGTGCAGTTTTCTCGTTCATGTCTTCTACTAATTGCAGCAGTGTGTGCTTGTGCAAAGATGTGGTTTACCAATCAGCAATTCAGTGTATCTTCTAAGGTAGTGGATAAGTTAAGTCTCGAGTGGAATAGTAAGTTTTTTTATTATTGCATTAAAATGCCACATTTTACTTGTTTGGATAATTTGACTATTAAACTAGCATTGAAAGAGGATAAACTGCCTTCTAGTCTTGATCTGTATTTTCTAGAAATACCAGATATTGGTTGTGGTTCCCGTAAATAAACTTATTGCATTTGGGGCCTTTCCATATGGCTAAGCCATTTGCAGAAAGGCAATAGCTGTTCTTTGCTAAAAACATGGGGTTTAGAAGACAGGTTGTGAAACACACTGAAACATATCCTTTGAGAAGCCTTTAACACTGTGATTTTTTTATTGTTTCTCTCCCTGAAGAAACACTGCCTTTTCCACAAACACTGTGTTCTCTGACATGATAGTCATGGAAGCCTGCTGTCATAGACATTTTATGGGTTAAGAGATTGGTAAGTGGCAACTCTGTGTTGGAAAAGTTGATGGCACTAACTTCCCAGAACAATCCTGCACATGAAGTCATTTCGAAGTGTATCACAACAGATGGGATTTTCCAGCAGAGCACTTGACATCCTGGAGACTTATAGCAGCAATGTGACATATGAAGTGAAGAAAATTGCAGAGGAAACTCCTGCATTTGGGATCTTTCCATATGGCTTAGCCATTTGCAGAAAGGCAATACCAGATCATTGTTAAAGGCATGGGATTTAGAAGGCAGGTTGAATATTCTATTCTGCACTTGCTTTGAGAGCCATTTTGATCCTTAATGATCAAAGTGCAACTTAAATATATGGGTTTGGCATTGTAGTTATTAAAATAATTTGCTCACAGGGTGAGTGAATTTCCTGTGGTGTGCATCGCAACCAATCTGTGTACTAATGAGAATATGATTATTAGTCTGAGTAATCCAAGCAACGTTACCTAGAGCTTCAAACGAGACCTAGTGTGTGATAAGCATCTTGTGTAATCTCATCTAAAGGACTTCTGAAAAGCAGTAGGACGATGTGCTGCTCTGTTTTCTGGTGTCTTGTCCAAGAAATCTGAAGTTGCAGTGTGCACATCATGGCCATGTGTTATCTATCAAGCTGGCAAACAACTTTTCTATCCTCAGCCAAAATTAATTATTTAGCTGAATATTTTGTGTGTGGCAGGTCAGCAAATGCTTTAAAGGACTGTGTAGTGGAACTTTACTCTTGATTGTTAGACTCATGATCTTAGCTGTCTTCCTTCCACAATCCGTAGACTTACAAAGTACTGGTGCTAACACAACATACAAGAGGATGGAAGAGATTGCAGCATGACTGGAGACAGGCTGATCCTAGAATGGAATGGGAATGTGTGAGATAAGCAGGCAACATAAAGGGATGCAAAGTAGTACCTTGGCATTGATTTGGGAATCAGAATGCTGAGTAGCTAATGTCATTGCTGACTGAGACACATTTGTCTATCTGTGATTGAAGCAGACTTTAACTTGTCAGTCTGGACCAGTGTGCATACTCAAGGTTAGTATGAACAGTGAACACAATGTGTAAGAAGCCTTTGCACTTTTTACTGCACATTTTTTTTATTTTCCACCCCAATATTTACTTAGAGACTTCATGATTTAAATGAGATTGTCTTATGGACCAGATTTTTAAAAAATAATGGTATTAAATAATAGCATCAAATTTCACAGTGGAGCTCATGGTCAGGATTTCAACTCTACTTAGTTTTCTACTTATCTAACCAAATAAAATAACTTTTTAGGATGATGGAGCAGAACAACTTGTTGAGCTTTACTAATCTGGCAGAACTGTTGTAACATGCTTAAAATTTGCAAAGATTAAGTGACTGTCAGAGTAGTTGTGGAAGACAAAGGTTGGTTTGTCACTTCTTAAAAAGTCTACCAGGTGGTATGAAGAAGTTGTGGTTGAAAACCAATCTGAATAATTAAGGTGAGAATCGAATGAAACTTTCCCAGTGGAATTTCCCTGCTTGGTGCTGTGGCAAGTGTTCAATCTGAACTCCCAAGGCAGACAGGGGCTGGGAGCTGAGCATATCTGCAAGATGGCTTTATCTTCACCTTCTGCTGTAACATTTTCTCTGAACGCATAATCCTGACTATGTCCTGTGGAAACTCTTTGGACCTTTGGTCTGAAATGGCTGATTTCTCAGGAATTTCAACAACCACTTACAGTACCTTTTGTCTTCCTATTTCCGCAGCTTACAAAGGTGACCAGTAAAGTTCTCTCTGAGCAGCCAAAAAGCAGACAGCTCATGACTTCTGATCAGGACACTAAAGTTGTGACTGAACCGCAGGTGCAGCAAGTACAAGAAGTTAAGGACGGTTCTCATCTAGTAAGTATTATAATTGCATGTTCCGTTGCTGTAAATGTTGCATTAAACTTTTTTTTTTACTATGTCTTAATCAAAATTGTGTCTCAGCACGTTTTAGACCGCAGTTCAACATAAAATGATAGAATGGAGGTGTTGAAGGTGGCTTATTCTCCATACCAAGTAGGAGCCTCACCTTTACTTTTCTTCAGCTGTTCAGGGGATTAAAATAAACTGTGAGTTAAAACAATTTGCACTCATTTGAGGAGTAGGGCTTTTTAGGCGATGCAGGAATTATATTCTCAATCTTGAGTAAGGTTCTGACTCACACATTCACATCTGAGGAAAATGAAGCAAAAGCACTTGGCATGTACCTGTAACTGCAAAGAGTACATCATCATACAAATAGGAAATTGCATTCCGTAACAGGAATATTTCTTGCTCAGTTCTGCCAAATGGCACATGGCTGCTGCTTCCATGTTATTGTGCAGAATCTAACTACTTACTTTATAAGATGCTTTTGGCAGATCATACCACAGATAGTACTGTATGTATGTGTTGTAGCAAGTGTTACATAGGTCTTCAAGAAGACTGAGTACTTGATTTTTGTGTCATCTCTACTCATAACATTGTATTTTCTTCTTTGATCATTAACTGTATCTTCGGAGGAACGTTTCCTCTTTGGACATCTTGAAGGGTTTAATTTCAGTGCATGTTCTGCTAGGCACTTAGACTGTAATATGTGAAGCAGCATATGCTTGCTGCTTCAGCCTACCTTGCAGGAAGCACTAAGGAGCATTTTGAGAAACACTAAACTTGTGCTTTTCTTCCACCAGCTGGTGACTTTTTTGTTTGCTCCTCTTCTCCCCCCTCTTTTTTTGTTCTGGGTTCTCTTCTGCTCTGTTTCAGCTTTCTCAGATGTGAATTTTGTCTATTTGGCCATGGAGGAAAAAGTTGAACCCTCTTTTGTGCCATACCTGTAGTAGTTGAGCTTTCATTATTTTTTTTCTAAGTTTTTTTTCCCCTCGTGTACTCAGGGCATTAATTCCAGGGAGCCAGTGCCTAAGTTTGAGAAAGAGGCTCTTGCAGATTTGCTTCAAAAGCTTGAAACTGTCAGTGCAATTCAAACAGATGCATTAGTATTAAAGGTGGTTTGATTAGTCTTGACATCAATGTTCTTTTAATTTGCTGTACTAGAATTTCTATAACAGTGCATGTACTCTTGCATTTAAATATTAATTTCTGTTCTTTTGTACTTATTTGAAGAAAGATAGTAACCATTTATTTCAATTTTAATAAAATCTGTCTGGTCTTTTCCTTAGTAGAGGACACCTATGTCAATTTAGATAGCTTAGAATGTATCCATAGTGCTATAATGGTGAATTTCAAATAACTAATTATTTTGAGAATACTTTGTTCCAAAAAGGTGAGACCTGTAGCTTATTAAGCTTTTTAAAGTTATGCTGGTATCTTACTTGTCTATGCATGGCATCAGAAGGTTATTTTGTTGCATGAGAATCATTGCCAATATGTGCTGTTAGGTGGTGTTTTCAAGATGGGCCCTTCCATAATGGCATATCTGCTTTACTATATTTTGCCAGTGTTTCCAGACTTCACTTGGAAGTTTTGAGAACTAGTCTGTAGTTTGAGAAACACTTCATGGAGTACAAGAAGTTAGCAAGCTCAAATCATTAGGACACTTTCTTCCTTCCAAAAATAAAATAGGAAGGAAAAAAAATTCTGAAGTTTGGACTTGATTGCATTTAGCAAGTACTTGCCTCAGGTTAACTGGAACTCACCTCCTATTTCTTGTGTCTTAATTATTTTGAGATGAGAAGGCTAGACTGCATAAGGGTATAAATTAATGTCTCTGGTGATCCCTGCTTCAGTGTGTATTTGATATGGGGCCATACTGCCATGGTATCTAGTGATACTCACTTCTCTATTTCCTTTTTGATCAGTTATACTTGTCTGCTAGAAATTGAAGGTTACTCTCTGAGGGAAGAGGCCAAGACACAAATCCCATGGCAGAAGTAGTTTGTATGATTTGTCTCTGCAACACAGGACTTAGATAACCTTTGTTGCTAAAGGCATAGTCTTTTTCCTTGCTTATACATCCTAAACTCTTACCTTGCCATGCCCACATTTGAATATGCGGCCTTTTAGAGCACTTCTCAAGGATCAAAGAATTTTCTTTCCTGATTGGCTGTATTGAAGACCTGATCTGGAAATCTGAGATTACCTTTAGAAGGATTTCTGTCTGACTTTGAGCATCACTCATTCTCTCCCTAGTTTAATAATTTTCAGGTGTTGCCATGGACTTCTGATAATGGGAATTTAAGCCAATGTGGTGTGCTGGTTTTGGTCAATGCTTTGAGGTACTGTAGATCCAAGTTCAATCATATTGTTGGTTCTAAGCATAAGAAAAATAGCTAGCAAGTCAATAAACTGAAGATGGACTTAGTTCTACTTCCTAAAATGTTTTTTGTAGGAGGTAATATGGAAAGATGTCTTGGGTTTAGAGTTGCTGGGTAATGTTGTTAAACATCCTTTTATAACCCATTCAAGAATAAGCCTCAGAGTAAAAGGGACTGAGGAAATCATGTTTACTCATTTAATATAAAACAATATCTAACAGTTCAGTAGAAATTCAGTATAGCCTATAATCCTAAGATCATCTGACAATACACAACATTAAATACAGTATGTGCCAATTAAGAGTTAAGTAGCAGTTTGTATAACATACAGGTGATGCTTAATAATTGAAGAGATTAATAGCTTTAAACAAGAAATGGAAGGATTGAACCTTAAACTGAATATGTCCAGTATCAGCATCATGAAGGATCAATACGGGTCAGTGTTTGCTCTTTCTGTCACGTTATTGTAGATGTAGTTCATAAGAAAAGTGCTGAACAGTTTTGCACCTGTAGATTACTTCTAAGGTTTAAATGCTTTAATGCGTAAAATGTGCGTTTAAACTCTTTAAGAGTCCATTTAAGCTGCACCTGGGTTGGCACAACCCCAGGCACAAATACAGGCTAGGGGGAGAATGGCTGGAGAGGGCCAACGATATCCTGGGCATTAAAAGAAGTGTGGCCAGCAGGGCCAGGGAGGGGATTCTGCCCCTCTACTGTGCTTCGATGAGACCCCACCTGGAATACCGTGTACAGTTCTGGTACCCTCAGCACAGGAAAGGCACGGAGCTGTTGAAGAGGGTGCAGAGAAGGGCCATGAAGATCATCAAAGGGCTTGAGCACCTCTGCTGTGAAGACAGGCTGAGAGAGTTGGGGCTATTCAGCTTGGAGAAGGCTCTGGGAGACCTTCCAGCACCTGCAGGAGGCCTACAGGAAAGCTGGTGAGGGGCTTTTCACCAAAGAGGGCAGTGATAGGACAAGAGATAATGGTTTTAAACTGAAAGAAGGGAACCTTAGGTTACACATCAGGTAATAAGGTGCTGGAATGGGTTGCCTAGGGAGGTTGTGGAAGCCCCCTCCCTGGAGGTTTTTAAGGCCAGGTTGGACAGGGCTTTGTGCAGCCTGGTCTCGTTTGAGGTGTCCCTGCTCATAGCAGGGAGTTTGGAACCTGATGAACTTTAAGATCCCTTCCAACCTTAACCATTCTGTGATTCTATGGTTCTATTTTTAAAGCTAGACTAGATTTTAAAACTTGGGGCTACAGGACTTTGTATGGTGTAAACCCATATTCCTTTACAAGGAATAGGTACCTGCAGAATGAAAGTAAAGGGGTATCTCTACTCCTGTTAATAAACATGTTAATTTCTTGCCCTCTGCATAGGGTGTATGCAGGACATAGGACTAAAACATTTATTAAAAATATAAAAGGTTTAGGTTATGAAAGTGCTGCTTCAGAGTGGCTTGGTTTCATAGAGAGGTAAGACATATTTAGTCTTGCAGATGAAGAATAGACCATATTTGTAAATGTGAAAAGGAAACAAACAAAACAAACAAAACTCATTCCCCAGCTGAGTTGGAACTCTGAAGTGGCAGAGTACAAATTCTGTTGAAGTACTTTTCAAGTCAGGTGGCAGTTTTTAGCATAACCAGGAAGTTTTTAAGACTTACAAAGTCTTGAAAGTTAAACAAGGAACCTCAAGTGACGGAGGTGTGTTGTTTTCTGCTTAAATGTGTGATACTGGGGATTTTTTTATGGTGGTTCCATGATAAACAGTATTGAGAAACGTGACTTAAAGAATGTGCACTATCAGTGCTTAAAAATAGAAATTATCCCTGGAGCTCTTAGATAAAACCAAAGGAACAAGTACAAAATGTGCCTTTGTACATAAGGAGAAGTATATGGGAAAACTGGAAGACGTTTCTGCTTGCTGAAACTGCTTCACCCATTTTCTCCCCATTAGTTGATAGCAGAAGTGCTTGTTAAGGCACTGGAAAAGTGGACTTTGCCCTGGTCTGTCTCTTAAAAGCACTTAGTTCCTCTCTAGATAGCATGTAGTTAGTAATGGTTAAATGACAGAGGGAAAAATCTTATTTGTTTACCTGACAAGGGAGTTGTCTGAATACTTGTAAATTTTGCAAGTATTATTGTGACTTTCTTCTGACATTAAAAACAGTTGAATTGTTTGCTCATGGCATTTTTTCAATAATCTATTAAAAGTAATTCCCTCCCCCTTTCCCTGTTCTTTGTTCCAAGGAATGCTGAAGAGGAGTGGCTTGGCATAGTTTTAAGTCTGGATCCAAGCATGTTGAATAACTTTGTCCCACAGAAGAATTAAAAAAAAATGCAGCAGATGGCAGCAATGATGCATCAGACTTCCTATCCTTAAGAACAGTGTATCTGCAGGCACCTTGAGGCTCCATGTATTGGAGGAGCTCGGGCAGTGTGTAGTCTTCCTCTTTCTCACCTTGCAGTTTCAGAGCAGACTTGCTGAAGAGGGGATGTGTTCCCTAGCTGATTCAGCAGTCTTTTATGGGCAGAGTGAATAGGAGGTTTTGCCTGAAAGTTAGCCAATATGATTCTTTCACACATACAAATCTGCATCTGCCTAT